TATATATATATATATATATATATATAAATAAAATCACATTTCCTTATCCATTCATCTATTGAAGTTTTACCCATTTGTTGTTGATTTAACCAGAGAATCTGCTTGTAGGGAGAAAACAGAAGTACACAGCAAAGGAAAGAGTTATAAATGACATCTAGGTGACAGTTCAGAGTTGCTGGCTCTGTGAGTATGCATCTGAACAGGACAACTCAAGCCCCTGCCTCATGATCTGTAGTTTAGTGGTCCTGGCTCCATGTGGCCCAGCATTACAACACATAACCTGTTTTTACCTGTTAGTGTTCGCCATGGTTCATTGGCTACCGGCAAGAGAAGCCCAATTTGAACTAGCTTAGATGAAATAGGACACTTTTGACCCTTGTAGACATATAAAAGCAGAGCTCAGTTTTCCAAGGTACTCGTGTCATTTTGCATTTCCACCAATGAAGTGTGAGCATTCCAATTGCTTCTCATTCTTGCCAATAAATATTGTTTTGGTTTTAATTTTTGTTTTCCTAATGATTAATGATGTTGAATACCTTTCTGCGTGCTTTTGAGCTATTTTGATATCTAAGTGTCCATTTAAGACTTCTGCTCCTTTTTCCCCTTCTGTTATTAATTTTTAAGTATCTGGTATAACTGGATACTCTAAATACTAGTCATTTGGTAGATCTATGTATTATTTATCTTTTCCCCCAGTCTATAACTTGCCTTTTCATTTCCTTGGTGATATTTCCTGATGAGCAGTAACTTTTTAATTTTGGTGAAATCCACGTTGACTATTTTTTTTTTCTTTTCAGAATAATGCTTTTTGCTTCCTTGTTAAAAAGGATTTGCCTTCTCCAAGATCATGAATAGATTCTCTTGTCTTTACTTCTTCAAAGGTTATATATAGTTTTAGTGTCGGTATTTAAGTCAGTGATCCATCTCTGATTGAGCTGTGTGCATGCATGAGGAGGGGCCGTGTGTCTCTTTTTCTTTTCCCTTATACATGTTACTGGCTCTTCTCAGTTCTCACTGTCTTGTTCTGGAACACTGACTAGAGTTTATTCCAGTTTGATGTTTGATGTTGGGGTTTTTAGTAGATTCAGTGTCAGATTAAGAGCATTCCCTTCACTCCCTAGATTTCAGAATCTTTTAATCTTGAATGGGTAGTAAAAGATGCCCAATACTTTTTGTGTATTTATTGACATTGGCATCTATTATTGCACTTCTATTCTTCCAGTGCAGTGACTGATTTGAAATGCTAAATTCTTGGATGAACTCAATGTTTTAATACTATTATTTTAATAAATTGCTGGATTATTTGCTAACATTTTGTTTGAGAATGTGACATCCATGAGAAAACTTGGCCTGTAATTTTCTTTTCTTGTAATGACCTTATCAGGTTTTGGTATGACAAAACAAATTGGTCTTATAAAACAAGAAGCTCAGAATTATTCTCTGATTTTATTCTCTGGAAAAGCTTGTGTGTGTATATGTGTGTGTGTGTGTGTGTGTGTGTGTGTGTGTGTTATTACTTTTTTAAATGATTGAAAAATTCATTGTTCAAATCATCTTTTTTCTTAAGAAGTGCAGGACTTTAGTAATTGATTCAAATTCTTAAACTGTTTTCCCAAAAAAATTTCCATATAATGTGAAATCTTAAATTAATCAGCATAAAATTATTTCAGAATAGCCATTCATAATCTTTGTAATGTAACTGGGATCTTTGAGTCTTTCCACTTTCCATTATATGAGTAATTTGTATCTCCACTTGTCTTTTTTTTATCTTGATCTGTATTGTTATGACTCTATTAGTTTTATTAGTTTATTAAAGAACCAACTTTTAGTTGATTTTTATCTTTTATTTATTTTCAATTTTATTGTTGTCTCTTCTTTGTTATCTCATTCCCTCTATTTTCTTCAGGATTCATTTCTTGTATTTTTTTCTCAACTTGGAAGGGATGATCAGAGCCTTGATTTTTAACATTCTTTCTTTTATAATAAGTCAAATTTTTTTCCTCTTAAGCTAAATTAGTCTTCAACTCATGTACTTTTACATGTTTCATTTTCCTTAACACTTACTTGAAAGTACTTTAGAATTTCTATTTTAATTTTTCTTTGACCCATGGGCTAGTTAGCAATATGTTGATTAAGATTAAAACACTAGGAAACTCTGTAGTTATCTTTTTGTTACTGATTTCTAGTTTATTTCCTCCTGTGTCAGAAGGCAAATTCAATAGGATTTCAGGCCTTGAAGTTAATTAGGACTTACATTATAGCCCAGAATGTGTTCCATTTCGGTCGATATTGTCATGTACTTGAAAAAGGTACAAGTTCTATAAATGTCAATTAGGTCAAGGTTGTTTACAATCATGTCATTTAGTCTATATCTGTACTAAATTTTTGTCTCCGTATTTTACCTGTTATTGTGAGATGCTATTAAAATCTGCACCTATGATTAAGGATCTAGTGTTATTAATTTCCACTTAACATACTTGGAGGCTATGATAATTGTTATGTACACATTTAGGATTAGTAGAACTTCCTGTTGAATTAGCCATTTAACCATTGTGAAATATCTCTTCATCTTCAGTAAGATTTCTGACAGTAAAGTCTACTTGATCTGACATTTATGTAGTGTAGAACTCTCTTTTGATTAGTGTGGACATAGTATATTCTGTTCATCATCTCACTTTCAACTCTTCTATGTCTTCATGTTTAAAATGTGACATTTGGAGGTGTCACCAGGTGGTTGTTTTTTTTTTTAATCCAGTCTGAAAAATCTTTATCTTATAATTGCACCATTCAAACAATCCTTTTATGTTGAATGAAATTATTTGAATTTGAAGTTTCTAACAGACTATTAAGGGATTGTTACCTCTCTGGGAACAGTATTAGGTGAGTTCTAACTACAGGCTTTGTGTTATTAGTGTTGATAGTGTATGAAGTTGAAAAATAATGAGTGTTAATAAACTAAGTGATGAAATTTTTCCATCTGGATTTCCACATCTTTGTGAGGGAAAAGTTTTGTTTATGCCAGTCCCTAAAACTAAGTATCAGAAAAAAATGTGAACTTTGAATTACCTCGGGTCATTATATCACAGGTTTTAAACCAGGAGTTTGAAAAAGAATAGTCAATCCTTTTCGAAAATAATTAATTGTTGGCAAATAATGTTAAATCACCTTTAAAATATTATTTATTTCCTCTTTATATCATCCTTTTTAATATTTTCAGTGTGTTTTTAATACATTTGACATAGGGAAAAAAACTCTAGTATATGGATATAATTTATAAATCAATAAATCTTTGTATGCTGGGGATATAATCTCAAAAAAATTATTTGGTTAGGTTTTGAGACCAAATAAATTAGAGCTTAACTTATAAAAACTTGAGAGAGGACTTCAATGATAATTGAATCCAGTCCTTAGATTTTTAGAGATGAAAAACTAAATCCCTATGAAATTGAGTGGCTTGCCCAGGTCTCATGACTAGTAAAAGCACAGTTCGAACTCATACTCACTCTTAACTCCTGGGCACTGCCTTTTGTACCATCTTGGATGTCTCCCTTGTCTACACTTTTACTCCCTCAATCTGTTATCTTTGAAAAACAGCTGCATTCTCCCAAAGGCCCTGGATCCATACTTTACTTTTAAATAAGTATATGGAATTATGCTCATATTTTTAGTCTTCTGCTAAAGGAGAGGTAGGTTAATGAATATACAATGAATATTTGTATATTAAAGTTTAATTGCTTGCAGAAATTGGTCTCCA